CGAGATCATGTGATTCTCACGCTCTCTACATTCTAGAATTATCCTGTACTTTGGCGAATGTTCTAGTTCTTACTAGATATAGGGTAGTCGGGTATATAAAAGAGGGGGACAATGTGACAAGGTAATGTGTGTGTAGACAGTGAGTAATTGGTCTGCAGTCAGAAGTATTATTGAGCACGTTCGTTGTTATAGCGTTTGTTTAGCGCGATTGTTGAAGTTGAGTGTATCGGTAAAGTTATATTCAGAAAGAATAAACCAGTTTTTATTAAGAAAGAACTTGTGTCGCTTAAGTTTCGTCGGAACGAAGTTACGGAAAATCAATTAACAAACGGAGACGTAACAATATGTTTATCTTATGGTTTTGTATAGTGTACATATTGTTAGTATCTGTTGCAGTACATTCCAAGATTTGTGGAAGCAAGCAGCCAAAACTTTGAAAAGTTCTGCAACCTTCCTTGTTTAGCTGCAAGAAGGCAGACATTTGATATGCTAGTGTTACGACAGCAGATGTCACGCAACCCTGGGAGCATGTGCGCTGGAGTTTCTCTAAGAATCACGAATTTTCCTGGAAACTCTAGTTTGTTCGAGGCGCTGTCTTTTTAGTATATAAGCCTGGCGAGAAAAACCAGCGCGATTGAAGAGATAGAAAGATAGACTGAAGAGATAGCTAATTGAGTCAAGTGAACAGTAGGCACCGTAAGTAAAGTGTGTGAATCGCCTGTGATTTATAGCGTGTGTTATAAAAGTTAAGTTTAGAGTGACTGTGGAAATTCTGTGTAATACAAACTTGTATCGAGAAAGAATAAACTAGTTTTAATTAAGAAAGGACTTGTATCGCTGAAGTTCCTCAGAAATAATTTCTACCGGAAATTAACAAACGAGCAGATAAGTAACAAATTGGTATCAGAAGTGGGATGGAAAAAAATATGGAAACGAGAAGTGGCAAATCAAACTACAGTTTGGCAGATTTGATTGCAGCAATACAAGAACAGCAAAAGAAACAAGAAGAGAAATACAGCAGTTGTTGGAGGAAAAAGAAAAGAAACAAGAAGAGAGACAAAAGCAGTGGCAAGAAAACTTGCAACAGTGGCAGCTCGAACAGCAAAATAAAC